CCACGTCTATGTTCGGTGTTGTTTTATATTTCGGCAGTTGCTGCTATGGATTTCTGTTCCTGTCATGGATTAGACAGATCTGGTACGTTGGAAACATACGTTTCTTGAGTATTTTTCCTCCGTTATTAATATTTGTATTGGAACACAAGGATAACATTCCACATAGTTAATCATACAACATATTTATTAACACATAGCACTAGTTAGCAGTCGAAAATGATAGTACTATGTCTCATACTACTGAAGCAATAGTTACTGTCGCATGACCCGCATGCTACTCAGTACACTCTATCACACTACGACGCAGCACTGAAATTTAAAGTGTGACTACGATTACTCATCTGAGTAGCATACGAAGGTTAAACGAGTCTTTAGTTTAAAAATAAATTTCGTTTGATTGGGATTCTGAAACATACTTAGCGAAGTTTTCCAAAGAGGTTTAGACCTTTAAGTTACATTAACATGCATTTATCACTCACGCACCTTTGCACTTTTTGTTTATATTTTATCAATTTGTAGTGTTCTAGTACATTTACCATGAGTTCTAGTATTTCTTTCCATACGAGTAATAATATTACAAATAATACGACAGGGTTAGACACTATACCTCAGCTCGAGGACTGTAGAAGGTGGTATTTGATAAGCTAAATTAACTAACTGCACAACGAGCTTTCTCAATTAAGGGCACATTTCTATGTCTTCTTCCAACCAGAAGTACTAAATCTAAACTTCATATTCACCTAACGAACAGTTAGGTGACTATGAAGTCTTTCAGATTACAATTTTGGTTGAATACCTCCTTCGTTTTCTAATTCCTTTATAGGAAATAATAGGAAAATGATCGTGAAATTTCTTATGAAATCTTAATATATTTTAAATAATACTTAGAAAAGAAAAGACCGGCAATGTTTAGTTTTGGGACATAAAAGAATTTATATGTAGGGGTAAGAAGGCGGAAGCTTTTCTGAAGCGAATTTAGATGATCATGAAATTCCGGGAAGAGATATTAACGCTTAAGGTGAAGTACTTGTTTCTATACGTTGAATTTTTAATCAGGTTACTTCACTCTTCTAAAAAGAATGAAGCAAGAGCAAATATAAATTCCGTACTTTTCTTCTTTTCTTCTTGATCCACAGCCTTTTCCTTACATAAGTTAGCACAAAATACTTTTGCTAGGTGATCGGTCACCTTGTTTTGCTGCCTTGACTGTAAACCCATACGTGTTGAGTGAACAATGACCTTAATAAGCATCTGTATACTGATAATTCCTCACCACCAGAATTTGGGGATTGGGTCCGCTAATCCCTAGTCGCCCTTTAAAGGGGAGAGTACATAAGGTTGAATCATAGTACCACCAGGATTTGGAGATAGGGTCTGCTAATCCCAGCCGCCCTTTAAAATGGGGAGTATATAAGGTAACAGATCGTTTCTTAAAATGGCAATGAAAATCAGCTTAAATAGTATGCGAGAGGAGTACATAAGCTATTTTATTCCTTCGAGAGGTCCAGGTTCGAGTCTCGGCGAGGGCATCGCTCATTTTTCATGTCTCCTTCTTTTAAAAATCCTAATGACTCTACAATATACCTATTTGATATTTTTATACCATTTAAGGTTCCAAAGAAAAATGCAAAAATAAACCCCGAAAGAAGCTTTTAAAATTCAGCCGTGAAACTGAATAGACACATTCTGTGTTTTTTGGACGTAGTATGTTGTGTGTGAGCTAGGGTGCATTCTACTGTGGAAGTGAAAACGGAAATTGGATCTGCGAGGAAGAAAAACATAATGGCCAAAATATGGTTCGTTAATGCTATGCAATTTTGAAAGGAGTCTAGTGTGCATCAAATGCAAGTCCATGGATGGCCACGTATCCCTTAAGGCTTTCATGGCTTAAGGCTTAAGCCATGGAAATTGCATTATCGAGGAGCTTCCAATTTCTGAGTGATCTGTCTCCAAAGTGAAGATCAATATTCTCCTCCAATCGCTTGCCGTCGGGATTATAGCGTTCCAACTGGATTTGATCCATTAAGCACGCTTCGAATAGGGACTGTCGAAAGAGATTAGTGAAATTCCTGCGGTATCGTTTGCAACACGAACGAAGTGAATTTAATCTAAGCCTCCCTTTCAGTTCTCGCTAACTCTTCTTGGTCCGCTTTGAAAGCACGTGTCTTTTACACATAATTCAATCGAACTACATGAGATACGGAGTTTCATTAATAGTGTGAAATTTAAAGTAACAAAAAAAAAACTACCAGAAACAGGAGCGTCAAAAACTTCTAATAAATTGCGAAAAAGGATTTTATACCAGTTATAAAAAATAGCGATAGACTAATTTAACTAATTCTGCATATGCTTGAAAATGTTATCATTTGGACCAAAAGTAAATATGTTTTAAATTACAGATGGGGTGGGGTATGCAAATTATAAGATTCAAGGAACACAATTTTAAAAATTATTAAATTTAGCTAATTAAATTCTAAATTTTAATAAAAGCTTAATATTGTTATATTATTTTGGTATCAGTGTTCCTTCTGCAATAAATAACGTTCGTTAAACTTCAATAATCATCACGCTCTAGGCCAGGGAATTCTCATCTTTCTTGCATCTACCGCTTTTAAAAGAACAAAGCGGTTATCGACCGCTTTAGTTTTGCCTCGATAATATACGGTCCAAGCGGTCAGGAAAAACTCTCAGTGATAAAAAGGCTCACGACTGATTGTTTGAGAAACCCTGTACTATGCCAAGTAGTTTACAGAGTTCTTTAAGTACATTAGGAGAGGGAGTTCTTTAATTACAATGTCCCAACTATAGAATAGCAGAGTACAATCAATAGTTACCAACCACTTCAAACGGTAAAGAATGTTAAACACACAGCATTGCATAGTGCATCTAAAAACCGAAGCTCACACTGAAATCTCTCAGTACTCTGAAGTTACTCTGAACTTGATCCAGTCAGTCCAACAATAGTCTGCTTTGATTTAAAAAAAAAAAAAAAAAATCTGAAATGTTTCAAATTTTAAATTACGTCCAAAGGGGCGTTTTTTTAACATTTTGTGTGTTACCTTTCTTTATTAAATATCATGTTCCTCGCACTTAAACCATAAGATCCAGTGCAACAGCAATATCGCAAAATAGTTTTGAAACGAGCATATCTTTAGAATTTCCGATACAGAGACTCACGCTCTGGAGATAAAAATGTTTTTTTTTTTTCTGCACAACATTGCCATTGCTCGCTTTGAAATCCTTGAGTTTGTTAATCAAAAATTCGTCAAAGTTTTAAAAAAATAGGAAATCGATCATAAAACAAATTTCAAATTTCAAATTTGGTCTTCCATATGCTCATATTCGTTGGAGGATTCCGTTATTCAAAATCCGATGACTCTATGTACCGTCGTTTTATCACAATACGAGAAATATACATACATTTATGCAGATTTTTCATTATTTAATTTCTTCAAATATAATGCAGGACTCTAACATTTTGTGGCAACAGTTTGAAAAGTGAACCGACATTTATGAGTCCGACGCAAAATGCCAAAACGAAACTAATAGTCCTTCGGGATTCAAATCCCTTTGGACTAAAAAAAAAAAAAAAAAAAGTTTGGTTCAACTAGATTTTGCATTGACTATCGCCGACTGAACAATGTAACGAAGAAAAAACCCAAAAATTGTTACGTGTGTATGGCTTCGTAAAGGACTGAATGCACATAGAATCAGTAATGGCTTGCTAGAGTTTGTTTTACCGAAAGAAACACTGTATAGTTCTGAAACTTTCCACAAAAGTACTGGTACAGCTGTTACTTGAAGCTACTAATAACGTTAAACAGCACAATGAAAGCACATCTAGAGAGTGAAGCTCTCACGGAGATCTCTCAATACTAAGAATTTAATGCTGAATTAAAAATTGAGAACTGGTGCTTTGTCCAGCCGTATATAGTTTTCCCCTGCTGTAGAGAAATCTCTAGTGTCTTCCATCTCTCAAAATTACTTGAAAGTTTGCAGTATTTGACAAAATAACAGATGATTTTCTTAATAAAACATACATTTTATTTTTAGTTTATGGAGATAGATAATTTGAATACAATCTTTAGTTACAAAATTTTCATACATCTACTAGCTGTTAAAACTTTCAGAATAACAATTTTAAACAATCTGACGTTGCTGAGCAACGGTTACTTGATACAAATATGGCGTTGCCACTCCAATATCAAAGGATTATAAATATAATTATTTGTTAAATAATAAAATATTACAACCTCTCCCCCTCCAGATAAACTTTAATTAATATTTTTATAAATTAAAGTTTACAATTTTTTTTCTCGAAACACAATATCAACACAATACAGAATTGAAATACTACAAGTAACATAGTAACATACACTGAGGAAGAGAAGAAAGAACAAAATAATTTTTTGTATCTATATAGAGAAACAAATTATTTAATCAGGCCAGGGAATACAACGTAATGCGTCTACATTTTTATGGTTTTTACCTCTTTGATGAACGACAGTGTAATTGTAAGGTTGTAATACTAGTGCCTTTCTCGTAAGTCGTGGATTTAAACTCCCATTATTTTTGAGCCAAACTAAGGGATTATGATCAGTCGTGATGAGGAATTTACTATGCCCGCCTAAATAACATTACAGGTTTTTTACATTCTTTACAGCATAAAACATAATCATACTACAAGTAATTGAACGTAAATTAAAGATAATATATAGGCTAAGAATATGAGCAAAAATTTTGAAAAATGGTTTGTCAAATTTTTTTAACTTTCTTTATTATTATTATTTTTAACTTAATATTGTTAGTTAAAAATTGAATATTATGTGTAACTACTGATAAGTTGATAACTGTTGTAACTATTGATAAGTTACAACAGTTTTCAGAAACAAAATCTACAACTATAGACAAGTTATAACAGTTATTGTCGTTGTTGTTTCTGTGTATTAGTAGTTCCTACTTGTAAAATCATCCTCACATATTTTTCATTTACTTTATAGGAGGAGGAAAGATGTTTGAAATTTGGACCCATGTGCCTTAAAATTCCTACTATTCGAGTAAGTAAGAACAGATTTTCAAACTCCTTATCTTCCGAAGTAACGATATTTTTGCTGTTAACTTCTACGCCATAATCTTTATAACTTTTAGCGCGGATGCTACAAAGTAAAACATAAAATAACTTTGATTTCACTTTTATGTCTACTTATACTAGCTCTTAAATATGTATAACTTATAATTTTGTATGATTTTATTTACCTTAGTTTCGTACAAGCGATGCTAACTCTGGGCTTCGAAATTCGTGCTTTAATTTCATTGAGTGAAATTCAAAGTAGGTATCGTAGGAAATGTGTAAATATCACATGACTTGAAAAATTAGGATTTATTTTCCACAAATATGCAAACTTGACATTAATTGAAGCTATCACCATTTTTTAGTAGGTGAGTTCAACTATATTTTGATTCTAGTCACTTTTTAATTGTATAAAATAATTTTTGACTTAATGACGAATGGATAATTTTCAGCCCTGGCTTGCTGGGCAGTCTAATAAAAATGTTATTATTTTCTTTGATGTTAATAATTCTATAATTTCTTGCCTTTGAAAACGCTGGTACCTGTCTTCATGGGTTACTAAACCGTCTGATTTGAAGTATTTTGAATAATATTTAAACGCAAATGATGAGTGATCGCGCCAATTTTACAACTAATGTTATTACAACGGTTGGAAAGTGAATAGGTGCGATTATTTTGCAGTGAAAACCACGCATAAAAGGACTGTGTATCCGGGTACTACGCTAGTTTAAGTCCTTTTAAGCATGAAAGCCGGAGGGAGCATGTTTGAAGTAGCGTCGTCAACATACGAACTGGAAAGCAGCAGAATATTCAAACGCAATGTTCATGGATGAATCAAGATTTGCGCTGGATTCTGATAACTAGCGTGTAAGAATTTACAGAGAGAAACGAATATGGAACCAACCCAGTAGTACCATTGAACACTATCCTCCCTTCAGTGCGGGATTGAATTTGGTTGAATTTTCTTTGAGCTATCACACTGATCGTTCCGTTTTACGAGAGGTACTGTGACGACTCACGAATATCACGTTGAAGTCATTGACACCATTGTGAGACTGCAAGTTGCTGCAGTTGGTCTAGTATATTCTAATGCACGTTCACGTAAATGAAGAATTGCTCCCATGAAGGCCCAGAAAATATGCCTGACTTTAATCCCATGGAAAACTTTTGGGATACAGTTAGATATGTTCTCTCTTCCCATGTACCTTCACAACAATTTTCAAAGAACTTAAATTACCTTATTAGAGGAATGGCAGTTATTGCCCTCTGATGTGGTTGACCTCTTAACTGAAAATGTAAAACATCGCTGCAGACCTTCTATGAAAGCCAAATATTGTCATGTGCCTCACAAAGGTAAGTTTCCTTTATCTGCAAGGAAAAAGAGAGTTAATGTGCAAAATGCTATTTACGTTATAAACGATTCCAATTACCTAAATATATTTTTACTCTAACTTTTTAGTCATGAATATGTAACCGAATTGTTAACCTTCATGTGAAATTATCAGCATTAAGTTTTCTATTTATTTCGACTTTATCTTCGTATATTTAAGTTTTGGAAAGCAGTGCAGTTTGCGAAATTTTGATGGTTTCCAAAAGGTGGTCAGCTTTTTTAGGCTATCTCAGTCAGTCTCTTTCAGTCTTGGGTTTCTGCTGATAATGGGGAGTTTTTAAATTAAAGATTTAATAATGCATCATTATTTGCAGCCCCCGATTTTTAATGATGATGATAAAATCTGCCTGTTAAATCAAGCATAAATTAAATGAATTGAATATAAACTTACGCACAGACTTACGCACAGACCCGTTTTTGAAAGCCTGAACTAAAAGCTTTTGGTGTCTTAATCACATTAAATTGAATAATTAAATAATACATTATATGATACTTTATGACCTTCATTGTAAAAATAATATTTTTCACAGAATGTTACGATAAAATGACTTTCTAAATGATTAGCTTACGCTCTGCTCGTTTGGTTTATGTTATGGCAAGGTACAACAGGGCTATCTCTCTAAGGGGAGGAATGCCTTCGTTGAGGATTTCTTAGGGAAACTAGTTCATATACTCGTTACAGATGGGGAAAACCTCGGAAACGCCCGTGCAGCGAGCCCGTTCGCCTGGATTCGAAGTTAGGTGAGAACTAGCAGAGATCGGTAAGGTCGGCCGCTGGTGGGCTACGCTCTAATTATGTTACATAGCATACTTTCATAATATCGAAGATAAAAGAAAGGCTTAATGCTTTGTCTATCAGTAGCAATTAATTTCTAGCTATGACGAAGAGGATTTTACGTCAAATAAAAACAGTAAAACCTTACAAAGTGTTAACAAAACATTTGATATTGGAAATAAATAGATTGATTAAGCGTATTCTCAATGTATTAAATATAATGTTCTTGGAATAGTGATCAGTTATTGTAAGCTGTAATTAAATCTCGAGTACTCAAAATATTAGTATTACTATGAAAAAAAAAGTTATAATCAGGGTGAAAAGAGCCGTACATAGATAGATACTTTTAGTGAAATTGTTGCATTTTTCTGTATGATGAAAAGCTGAGAGAGATGATACTCTGCCGGCAAAGTTAGAATACAGGGGCAAGTCTATTTAACATTGAATAAATCGCTATCACGCTAATTTGGCGAGAAATAGCCCAAAGTCGCCAAACTTGGCGACTATTTGGCGACATTTTGATCCGGTCGCTAAATCACCGTAATAGGTATTGTAATTGAATAACTGTAATTGATTTTATATGTAATTGTAACCGTATCCTGCCCTCATATGCCTTCTAGTAATTTCGAGAAGCAGAAAATACTAGAAATCTCTCGACGGCCTGGAGGAAACTATAAAAACCGACGAGAGCATCAGTTACTCAGCAGTTGAAGTATTGAGGCCTTTTAAGATGCGCTTTGCATTGCACTGTGTTTGACCGTCTACTAATTTGAAGTGTAACTACTGTTTGTACTCTGTGATATTGTGAACACCTGAAAGAATATTTCTGTGGAAAGTTCCAGAACTCTGAAATGTTTCTTTTGATATAATAAATTTTATCAGTCTATCATCGGACCTATGTGCATTCAATCTGTTACGAATCCGTATGCACGCAACAATATTTACAAATGGAATAAACAGAAAAATATCACATATGCTGCTGTTTATGTTCTAACTCTATTCTAAATTTAAAAAGTTAAACACAATAAAAATCTCATGAGAGAGTTCTAAGACCAATTCCGTTCATTAAAAAGAAATTTTTCGACACGTAACATAAGGAGGAAAGCTTATATTATACTGGAGTCTACTATATTTGTAATATTTGTTCATTTGATGATGAAAAAATAAATAAATGTTGGAAATTATATAAAGTTCCCAATTTATTATATTTATTTATTTATTTTTAAGCAGAACATAAGTTTTCTTTAACGTTGTTTAACAAAATTCAAATTCAAACTGAAGTAGACATCACAGTAAAATACATAAATTTAAAAGAGCGAGTACAGGCTCTTAGATCTCAAATTTAATCCAATGCCTAATTTAACAATTCCTCTTTCACTAGGTTTAGAAAGCCCGAGACGTTACTTTCAGACTGCTTTATTTGAGGAATTCCTAAGATGTAGTTAATTAAATCAATTAGAGTTAATGTCAGTCCGGAGTTCTAATTGATTTAATTATCCGTCAAGCCATTAGCTGAACGAAGCCCATTTTACTTACAGCCAGATTCATTTCCTTAATTTAGTTTCGTTTGAGCTAAGACCCTGGTTTAAAGCAGTGAAGGGACTAATAGTTAGAGTTTTTAACTAAAGTAAAATTTACAAATTATTTTTATTGTTAGGAAAGCTAATAGTTAATTCGTAAAACAAAGTAATTTAACGAGTGAAAAAAAGAAGAAACCCCTACAAATGTATGACGGTTATTCAAAAATTTATTTACTCTTGAAAAATATGGTTTGTTTCGATTATGGCAAAGCGTACGAAGGCTATCTGTCTTAGGAGAGTGATGTCTTCTTGGAAGATTTTCTAAGGGACATTGATTCATATTTGCGTTACGTATGGGAAAACCTCGCAATATCCCTGAAGCCAGCCCTTTGGCCAGGATTTGGACCAAATAGGTGGACCATTGTTCAACGATTTTGCAGCTCTGCCGCTGATGGGCAATTGTTGCTTTAGACCGTTTCTGTGAGTGACTTTTGCTGATTTCCAAAATTCTTTGCGTGGTACTGAAAATTATTCTTTCATTTTATTTCCTTCTTTCTTCTACTCTTTGAGTTATTGATTGCTGCCTAATTTGCTGTATGAGCTGTTGTTAATTTCAATAAAATATTAGATTTTTCTCCTGTTCATCTGGCGTAACTATTAATGAAATCTATACGAGGCGAGCAACTGTATTCTTAATATTTTTTCCTTGTAGTCATCAGTTTTTATACCGTCCGATCATAAGACTTTAATTTTTTATCATAAAATTGCATGTCATGGAATATAAAATGGAAATATGAAAATGGAAATATAAAATAGAAATACACACCATATGGAACAATGGTTTGTATTTCTACCATATGGAACAATGGTACCATATGGTGATACAACCTTCTATATGGTGTGTATTGTGACTGTAATACTTTCCTGAAATGTGGATGTTTGCAGCAGTCTTTTGGTCTTAGGTCCTTTCGAAATCTTGCTGGTCGGAGAATAAAGGGTACACGACATTCAGTCCCTTTTCCCAGGGTATGTTTGCCCAAAATTTGATTATAACTTAGACAAATAGCCATAACGTGATTATAAGTTTAGGAGTAACCGTCTTTTTTCTAAATTAATTAATCGAAATTTTTCATATAACCTACTTATTTACTGCCATGAGATGTCATTTTAATAAACAGTTTTGTTGTATCAGAACTACGAGAAAGGTTTAATAGGAATTCAGATATTTTAACTGCAATATAATTCTTCTGTACAACTACTGGTTCGCAAATGATATTTCTTTCTCTGAGACTGTAACCCTG